TAATCGCGATTAATCGTTTGACAGCACTAATTATTATTATTATTTAGAAAACAGCTGAGTAGATTTTTTTCAGGTTTCTTTGATGAACGGAAAGTTCAGAAGAACAGCATTTATCTAAATACAAATAAAAAATTATACTGACTCCAAGTTTTGAATGGTATAGTGTATAATGTTGTTATTTCAGATAAATGCTGATCTTTGGATCTTTCTATTCATTAAAGAATCCTGAAAAAAATGTACTCAACTGTTTTAAATATTGATAATAATAATAATAAATGTTTCTTGAACAGCAACTCATGTCACTCTGAAGACTGGAGTAATGATGCTGAAAATGTAGCTTTGATCACAGAAATAAATTACATTTTAAGATATATTCAAATAGAAAACAGTTATTTTAAATAGTGAAAATATTTCACAATATTACTGCTTTTGCTGTATTTTGGATCAAATAAATGCAGGCTTGGTGAGCAGAAGATAATTCTTTAAAAAAACATAAAAAGTCTTACTGTCCAAAAACGTAGCTTGAGCGTTGACACGTTATTTGAACCTTTTCTTAGGTCGGCAGTGTTCCAGCAGCCGGTGATCTTCCTCGGAGCAGATGTCACTCACCCGCCGGCTGGTGATGGGAAGAAGCCGTCTATTACTGCTGTGAGCACGTCACACACACTTTCAGCTGTTCTCATGAAATCACGTGTGCATTTTGAGTGAGATTTGAAATTCAAGTGGGGCTGAGAAGCGGTTTACCCTAAAATCAGCGGACCTCACATGAATAACTGGCACATTATAAGCAACTATCGCACTGTCTTGAAACCATAGTCATGTAGACGGGAGTTTGTGCTATTTTTAAGTGCTGTTTAGAGGCAGAAATCCGGTTTGCTACCTCAATTCAAATTCAGTTCAGTTGAAATTTAAATTCAGTTCTGAGTGGCACACAGTTTTAGTTTTATATGGATTAAAAAAAAAAAATCTGTAATGTGTAAAATCACTTCAGTGATTTTAGTATTATTTATATACTTTCATATTTATAACAAAGTATAGTATCATATTACTGAGCAACTTCACATTTTCGGTAGGGAAAATTGATAAAAATATCCAGTTTATACAACAATAATAGTCTGGCATCAAAAAGAAAGAATGCAGATAATAGCAAATAAATGTAAAAAAAAACAACAACAACACCACTGTTCAAAAGTTTGGGGTCAGTAAGATTTTCTTTAAAATAAATTAATACTTTTATTCAGCAGGGATGCATTACATTGATCAAAAGTATAAAGACTTTTATAAATGTTACAAAAGGTTTATATTTTACATAAGTGCTGCTCTTATGAACTTTCTATTCATTAAAGAATCCTGAAAAATAAAATGTATCATAGTTTCCACAAAAATATGAAGCAGCACAGCGGTTTTTAACATTGATAATAATCAGAAATGTTTCTTGAGCAACAAAGCAGCATATTAGAATGATTTCTGAAGATCATGTGAAACTGAAGACTGGAGTAATGATGCTGAAAATACAGCTTTGATCACAGAAATAAATTACATTTTAAAATATATTCAAATATAGAACAATTGTAGTAATATTTCAGAATATGTACTGTATTTTTGATCAAATAAATGCAGCCTTGATGAGCAGAAGAGACTTCTTTTTTTAAAAACATTAAAAAACTCCAAACTTTTGAATAGCAGTGTATGTGTAGACGTTATGATCAGAATTTGTGTTCAAACTTGGACAAAAGATTTAGAGAGATATCAGGGATTTTTGAAATTGTGATTTCAAGGGCTGGAAAATGAATTTTCTTTTTTTAAATTTAAATAATTTTTTGTTCTATTTTATTTTTTATTTTATCAGCTAGAAGTCACTTTTTGTGGGTGCAAACTCTATAAAACAATTTTTATAAATAATAATCATAAATTGCAAACGATTAGAAACATGATGGAAATTCATTAGTCAAAAGTTTGTCCCCCCGTCGACTGCCTGCTGTAGCGATTGTTGATGGAGCTTAAGTTGTTCCTTTACCAGCAATGGGTCTATTTTTATATACTTCATTTTAATTCATGCCATATTTACGATTATACACTGCCTAATTCAATTTACATTGTTTTCAAAGCTAGATATACAAAATCTAAACAAAACTGCATGATAATGTACTCGAGCAGCTTTCTTGAATGGACCAGTCATCAGATGTCTTATATAACAAGAGCAGCTATTATTGCTCCAGGACATAATGAAGTTATATAAATGTAACCCAGCTCTCTGTAAACCCAACCTGAGCCGAAAGCCACTTCATTTGAGTCTCAATCCGAAGGCTGTAATTACCAGCCTGCTGCTCTTTGTGACCGAGTGCCGCCCAGTTTGCTGACGGCTCCAGAAGTGGCTCCGAGCATGGGCCGAGTGAAAGAGAGGACGAGCCGGAGGTGGGCAGGACAGGATGGGAGCTTTGAAAAGGGAAAATGGCTCGCCGGTGACTCACAGACGCAAAGGAAATGATGTCACCTCCCGCCCTGCGCATGCAACCACTTGTAAGTGTGTACTCTTTCGCCGGTTGCCAAGTGATGGTGACAAAGGGCTGAGTCACGCAGACGGACGGCGAGAACATTTACAGAGGCTGGATGAACTGCTGACGACAGCCGGCTGATGATCATTGGCTTTTCTGCAACTAGGAGGCAGCAGATTTCTGTACTTTCTCTGCAGTCAGTCACATTTGTGACCCTGGAGCACAAAAGCAGTCTTAAGTCGCTGGGGTATATTTTTTTTGCACCCTCAGATTCCAGATTTTCAAATAGTTGTATCTCGGCCAAATATTGTCCTATCCTAACAAACCATACATCAATGGAAAGATTATTTATTCAGCTTTCAGATGATGTATAAATCTCAATTTCGAAAAATTGACCCTTATGACTGGTTTTGTGGTCCAGAGTCACATTTGTTTAGCATTGTTTGGATTTTTCACTGATTGCTCTGATGTTTTTACTTTGTTTACCTTTAAAACAGCTGTGTCACGTTCTTTCTTGTTATTGTTTTGTAGCTTATTTTTTTTGTCATTTTAAGTATTCTGGTTGGTTGCTAGGTAAAAATCCATCCCAAATGTCCACATTTGGCAACCCTTTGTTTGTTTCTCTCATGCTGCTTGTGTGTGAACAGCAAAAACATTTTTTTTTTGGTTTATTGATCTATAATTGACATTTAGTTTTTAGTCTGATACATTCAAAAATGCCATTCAAAAGTTTGGGGTCAGTAAGATTTTTATTAATTCCTATTTTTATTCAGCAAAAATGCGTTACGTTGACATTTATAATGTTACAAAAGATTCTTTTTCAAATAAATGCTGTTCTATTCATCAAAGAATCCTGAAAAATCAAATGTGTCACAGTTTCCACAAAAATATGAAGTAGCTTAACTGTTTTCAACATTGATGATAATCAGAAATGTTTCTTGAGCAGCAAATCAGCATATTAGAATGATTTCTGAAGATCATGTGACACTGAAGACTGGAGTAATGATGCTGAAAATTCAACTTTGATCACAGAAATAAATTACATTTTACAATATATTGCAATATAAAACACTTATTTTGAATTGTAATAATATTACACAATTTTACTGTATTTTTGATCAAATAACACTTAAAAGACTTTTTTCAAAAATGAAAAAAACTTACTGACCCCAAACATTTGAATGGTAGCATATCTGATCAGCGTCTAAATACTCCCATCTAGTTTTCGAATTAATTTGGATTTTTCATGATTTTTATTGAACCTCATTTTTAATGCAGCATGCTATTATGATGTAACACGCTCTGACACGACTCATCTGCGCAGGTGGTGGGCAGTATGGACGCTCATCCCAGCAGGTACTGCGCTACAGTACGAGTACAGCGACCCAGACAGGAGATCATTGAAGACCTGTCGTACATGGTGCGAGAGTTACTCATCCAGTTCTACAAGTCCACCCGCTTCAAACCCACCAGAATCATCTTCTACAGAGACGGCGTACCAGAAGGACAGTTACCACAAGTAAGCACTATTATGGTTCATTCAGTTCATTCTGCTCACCTGGGCTGCATTTATTTGATCAAAAATACTGTAAAATTGTTAAAATAACTGTTTTCTATTTGAATATCTGTTCAAATGTAATTTATTCCTGTGATGCGCAGCTGAAGTTTCAGCATCATTACTCCACATGATTCTTCAGAAATCATTCTAATATGCTGATTTGCTGCTCAAGAAACGTTTCTGATTATTATCAATGCTGAAATCAGTTGTGCTGCTTCATATCTTTGTGGAAACCTTGATTCTTTGATGAATGTAAAGTTGAAAAGAACAGCATTTATTTGCATCGTAAATGTGGCGTCCTTGTGTAGATCCTGCACTACGAGCTGTTGGCCATCAGAGACGCCTGCATCAAGCTGGAGAAAGACTACCAGCCGGGCATCACCTACGTAGTAGTGCAAAAGCGCCACCACACCCGCCTTTTCTGCGCTGATAAATCTGAAAGAGTGAGTTTCTGCAAAACAGAATTTTAAAGTTGACGTTCCTAGAAGTGTTATTTTTGTAGCAGAGTTATTTTAGTATCATTGATATATTATTATGTGCTGTCAAACGATTGATCGCGATTAATCGCATCCAAAATAAACATTTTTGTTTACATAATAGCTATATGTTTGTGTAGTGTGTATATTTATCATGTATATATAAATACACACTCATGCATGTATATATTTAAGAAAAATATGCTGTTTATATATTAAATATATTTATATATAATATAATAATATAAATTTATATACATGTAAATATTTTCAAAATATATACTGTATGTGTGTGTGTTTATATATACATAATAAATAAACACAGTACCCATACATATAGTATGTAAACAAAAACTTTTATTTTTGATGCGATTAATCGCGATTAATCGTTTGACGGCACTATATTTTGTTAATATATTGAATTTGATTTGATTTTTATTTGAATTTTAGTTTTAGTGTTTTTGTTGTGTTTTGCCATTTTTCTTTCGTTTTGTATATTTTGTCTACATAGTATTTATTACGTTTTAACTTCAACTTAAACTAAACAAAGATGAGAATTGTTGCCTCCACAACTAGCTAAAATAGAACAGATTTTTAAAACTACTTTAAGTTATGTTTATTATTTTATTTTATAATGTTTTTTATGGTTTTAGTTTATTTAGTTTGAGGTATTTTAGTACTTCAGCTTATCGTAAACAAAATGAGATAGGTTCATTTAAAATAGCTTAAATAAATGCTAAATTTAAAATAAATGAAAAAGTAAAAATTGTTTAAATGAATACTTTAAATAAAAAATTAAATTAAAATGTAAACAAAAATGTAAATGTAATTCAATAGCTGAAATAATAACTAGCTGGATTTTTCATGGTTTTTTTAATATTAATTAATTTAATAATAATAATAGTTAATTTATTTTATTTGAAGTTTATTTGAAAGTTATTTTATGGTTTTAGTTTTTCTTCATTTAGTTTTAGTTATTTTAGTACTTCATCTTTAAATGAAAATGAGAAATATTGCCTTGGCAACTAGCTGAAATTATTTATTTATTTATTTTCAGTTAAGTAACGAGGAGTTTTTTTTAAAAATAAATATAGTTTAGGTTAATTTAGCAATCTTGATTCTAATCCGTGTGGTTTTGCTCAGATCGGGAAGAGTGGGAACATTCCAGCAGGAACTACGGTCGACACCAGCATCACGCATCCGTTCGAGTTTGATTTCTACCTGTGCAGTCATGCAGGTATTCAGGTGAGCTCACAGACTCGGCGCAAACATTCATTCATGGCCGTGTGCCTGTGACTGTGGTGTGACGTTCTGTGGTCCTCGTCTCAGGGCACCAGCCGACCCTCACACTACTACGTCCTGTGGGACGACAATCGCTTTACGGCTGACGAGCTGCAGATTCTCACCTACCAGCTGTGCCACACATACGTGCGCTGCACCCGCTCCGTCTCCATCCCAGCGCCTGCGTACTACGCCAGACTCGTGGCTTTCCGTGCCCGATACCATCTGGTGGATAAAGAGCATGACAGGTGAGGCCAAGATCACGAGCATCTGTAGTTTAAATGTTACTAAAATGCATTAGCTAGATAGCTTAATACTGTAGCTCTGTTCCAAAACCTAGTGAGCTGCCTTGCTGCCTACATAGAAAACTACATTCTAAAGGGCTGTTCCTTTCCACTGACCTGCTTCTCTATATCTACTAGATCAGGGGTTCCCAACATTTGTTTTGTCAGCCAAACCCCTTAGACATAACATATTTATTTGAAGTATCCTCAAAAGTTGTAGGTTGATATTTCAGTAATTTAACGACACTGTTGCATGACATGCAAATGAATAGATAAATTATTCAAATACATTTTATTTTATTTTTTCATTTTAAAAATATTTATATATAGGCATGCACATATATAGGACTTATTATTATTATTATATAATGAATATTTAAAATATTGAACATTATATTTTAATAAATATAAAATATTGAAATAATGAATATTTAATAAATATAGGCCTAATAAATATTTTTATTTTACCCTGTAATTTGCAATACTAATATTATAATACTGATATATTGGGACTTTTTGTTGTGGAAACTTTCAGTATTGAATAAATATTAATTGTTTATAATCAACATTTCTTTCACTTTACATGTCATTTTGGTTTATTTATTGAGCTTTTTGCAGTGCATTCTGGGCTTGCCTTTTCTGAAAGGATACATGCAATTCTTATAGTTTTCATTGAGATTAAAAAAATATCCCTTGTATCTAGAACACGCCCACAAAGCCTAAGCAAGGCAAGAGTACACGCTTACAAATGTATTAATATAGTACATTTAATAAACAATGGTAACACAAAGTGCTTTACGTGAAAGGGATTTTTAAAAAATGCTGTTTAGGTAGTCAGCTCACTAGGTTTTAGAACAGAGCTTTAAATCTTTCTTTATCTTTTCTGCTTTGTATTTATTTGATCAAAAATACAGTAAAATTGTGAAATATTTTTACAATTTAAAATCACTGTTTTCTTTTTTTAATATGTTGTAAACTGTAATTTATTGCTGTGATGCGCAGCTGAATTTTCAGCATCATTATTCCAGTCTTCAGTGTCACATGTTCTTCAGAAATCATTCTAATATGCTGCTCAAGAAACATTTCTGATTATTATCAATGTTGAAAACAGTTTATTTGCTGCTTATTTTTAGGGAAACCGTGATGCATTTGAATAGAACGTTCAAAAGAACAGCATTTATTTGAAATATTTGAATCTAACATTATAAGTGACTGACCTGCCACTTTTGATACTCTAATGCATGTAATATCAGTTTTGAAGTCCTTCTTTATCTGGTCTGTGTTTGTAGCGGGGAGGGCAGTCACGTCTCGGGACAGAGTAACGGTCGGGATCCTCAGGCTCTGGCCAAAGCCGTGCAGATCCACCACGACACCATGAAGACCATGTACTTTGCCTAAGCACACCCCTCGAGCCAGTTCACCGGGTGCTACCAGTCCCACAAAGCCCACAGAACCCAACATTGGAGTCTCACACTTTGAGTTTCGTTGAATCTGGCTGAACTATGCTCTTTTTTTACATTTTATTTAATTGTGTATTATTGTATACTACTTTCGCACTCCCACATGTACGTATGTATGCAATACGGAGGGAAGGAACGCAGACGAAGCTGTCTTTTTGTATGCCACCACAAAGCTGCCTCTTAACCTGACGCCAGAGTTCAAACGCCCCAAGTGGAGGAATCGTTATTACTTCCTTTGGCATTATTTTTATTGTTGTGAAAGTTTCTTTTTAAATGTTTTATTTTTGTGAATGACATGGTACATTAGCACTTAGTTTTAGTCGAAAGGCACCGCGAGCCCAGAAGAAGCGCAGGCAGAAGCCGCAGACGCAGGTGTCTCGGATCGATTTTAGACTCGCCGTTAGTTAAGAGAGTGGCCGAATTAGCGTAACGATAGATGGACCACTTAGTGCATCGCTGCACTCTCACATCAGCATAACACCGAAACCAGCATTATGCACCAGCCAAACGCCATGCCAACCGGTGAAAAAGGGCCCTCGTCTGTAAAACGTGCAGTTTACTTGCACTTGAAAAGGATGATTTTGCTCCCTTTTTTTTTTTTTTTTTACTTCCAGTGCACATAAATCTTCCTGAACTTACAGGAATAGTTCACCCAAGAATGATGATTTTTAAAATTGTGTCATTGCAAACCCTAGATTTTTTTGATTCTCCCATGAAACGGAACGAGCTGTTTTCAATGCAGCACTAAATAGATGGTGATTTATAATGTGAAGCTTCATGTAAGTGTCATAAAACTAGTCCGCATGACTTGCATATTATAATCCAACTTTTGGAAGTCGTATTTTAGATTTGTGTAAGAAAAAGACCCAAATTTGAGTTATTCTTCACTATTTTTTAAACTCTGCTTTTTATGTTTTAAATAAGGCTGTAAATGAGATTTGAGAGCTGCAGTGGAGACGAGTATCAGTTAATAATCACTTAATTGTTGGTCTATTTCTTACATAAATTTATCATGTGAATTCAGAAGAATTGGAGTATTTTTATGGCAGTATAAATTACCATCCACCACATATATATATATATCTATATAAATGGCTTTTTTTTGCATTTTTGGGTGAACTTTTCCTTTAAAGCAGGGGTGTCAAACTCAATTCCTGGAGGGCCGGAGCCCTGCATAGTTTAGATTCAACCCTAATTAAACACACCTGATCCAACTAATCAAGTCCTTCAGGCTAATTTGAAAACGATGTGATATGTGTGTTGGAGCAGGGCTGGAACAAAACTCTGCAGGGCTCCGGCCCACCAGGAATTGAGTTTGACACCCCTGCTTTAAACCGTTTCTTCCACTGGCCTCTGTACACGAAGCAATTCACTGAGAGCAGTCATAAAGAAAACCGCACGCCATGTTTAAGATGACAGAAGAGAATGATATGCAGGGGGCTTGAACAATGCAGGAATAGCTGTTTGTATATAGTGAGCCTGTCCTCTCTCCCACACAGGTTCACGAAGGCGGTTGGGTCGCATCACCACACGTCTTAACCGTTCTGCATTGTTTTCAAACGTGCCGTTGGTAACACTGCCACATTCCCTTCCCAACAAGCACATTTAACACTTGCCAGTATCATTGCCCCTTTTTACCCTCGCCTGATGCCCGTCGGTGCAGCGAGCATGCAGCGAGAAAACTCTTTTCCGCGGGTTAGGGGAGCATTATGCCATGTAATCATGTCATGTGGTGGATGTATGAAATGCATGTTTAAACTGAGTTGGTGTTGTAACTGGAGCCTCTTAGTAATCATATTAAGACTGAGCCCGTACTAATATTTGATGCCATACTTTGCCTTAAAATGAAAAAGCTGTCATTACGAATCTGGATTTTTTTTTTCCCCCCACAGCTGCATACAAATAACACTTCATAGGGTGAACAAATAATGACAGAGTTTTCATTTTTTGGTGAACTTTCCCTTTTATACTGCTATAAAAAGTGGATAAGAGTCTCCACAAGGTCGAAAGACTCGCCTCAAAGCACCTAAAACGGTTTGTTGGAATTCAAAGGGATTTTAATGTAACGGTTGACCATGTTTTATTTTAACTCCCGTTTATGAAATGTATACAAAAGACACGCCTTTAGTTTTATCAAGCCAACGAGGTGATTTTTATTGATGCCCGCTGTACAATATTGATCCGGTCTGTCCTAGACTAAATATTCTGATGCAGTACTTGACTCTCAGAAGCCACAGCACCTCATGGCTGATGAAGAAGATGGAGGTGCGTGACGGCGTAATTGGAGAGTGAACTTCACCCGACCTCAATATTTAAGCAATATTAAGCCACTGATAAAGAACAGTCCGCATCATAGCACTTCCCAGTAGATTCAATGAATGAACACATAAGCAAGTCATTTTGGCTCTGTATGTAATAGTGAGAGGACTTTGTTCGGGACGATTATTTTTTAAAGAAAATAAAAGTTGTTTTTTATTAAATACTGTGCTGAGTCCTGTTTTCAGATGTGAGGGGGTCTGTGGTTGAAATACACACACTGTACAGTCTTTTACCGTTAAATTCACGGTCATTTTTTACAGTGCAGCTGTATTTCATTATTTACTGCTTTTTGCAGTGACAGTCTTTTGTCCATCTAATTCTATTGATGTACCATTTACAACCCATTCACTTCCAAAATACAACATTTCGAACAGAAACCAGATTTCAAATCGAAAAAGCAAGTTTTTACATTTTGATAAATGATGACAGTGTTTTTCTTTGGAATAACATGCACCGATCAATGCATGCTTCATTAGACCAGGAAAGTGATTGTGGTCCATTTTGATTTCATGTTGACTTTAATCAATGACGTTTTCATGCATCCTTTGTAAAATCACTCTTATCATCTATTCTGCTTTATTAAATTGATACCATAATTCACACCGTAACACCATAATTCATGTTATCAGTATTCATTCTTGCGCAAGTTATTGCACTGAATTGAATGCTACAGTTTATTTAAGAATGGTTTTATGAAGGATTTTATGAAGATGAATGAGGCCTAATAAGTAAAATCACTCTTATCATCTTTTCTGGTTTATTGAATGGGTTAAGATTATAATTCATGTTATCGGTTTTACGAACAGATGGAAAAGAAACGATTGAGAGATCCTTTAACGTTTGTATAACCAAGAAAAAACGTTTTTAAAACATTTTTTAAAAACAGCAGAATGTTCAGAGAACATTTAGAAATAAAATTTTTATGACTTAATGGGAACATTAGCTAAATGTTCTCAGAATTTTTTTTGTTAGCAGACAGACATAGACAGACAGACATAGATGATAGATAGATAGACAGACAGACAGACAGAGACAGATAGATAGATAGATAGATACTCCGCTAACAAGGAACACAACACATTTTGGCAAAGTTCTCTCAAAAGTTATGAACAAACAGTAACATTAATAGAATGTTTATTATGAAAGTTAAAGTTAGTCTTTAATAATGTTCTCAAAACAGCACAAACATTATTCATACATTGCTCATGGAACTTTTTAGTTGAACGTTTGTCTGACATTTTTAAATGCTTTAGAATGTTCAGAGACATTTCAAAAGTAACATTCCCACAATGTTCGCAAAATGATAAAATAGAATGTTCCATTAACATTTGTATAACCAAGAAAGGTTTAAAAAACGACATTTAGAACGTTCAGAGAACATTCAGAAATAATGTTTTTATTACTTATTGGCAACGTTATCAAAATGTTCTAGAGCAAAATTTTGTTAGCTGATGGATGGATGGATGGATGGATAGATAGATACGTAGATACAGTAGATACTCAGCTGGGACATTTTAAGAACTTTGGATAACGTTTTGGCAAAGTTCTCTCAAAGTTATGAACAAACACTAACATTAATAAAATGTTTTTTTTTTTAATGAAAGTTAGTTATCTGGTCTTTAATAACGTTCTCAAAACATTAGCACAAAAAGCAGGGAATTCTGGGAATGTCAATTTACGGTTATTCACTGTAAATTATACAGTATTTTTCACTTCCAAAAACGGTATACTACCGTAAAATTTATGTCCAATACATGTAATGTCCAATACAGTTTTTCACCGTATATAGTAGGGGAATTTACCGTTAACCATTTAACAGGTTTTTACTGTAGCATTTTTACAGTCTTTTACCGTTAAATTCACGGTCATTTTTTACAGTGCAGCTGTATTTCATTATTTACTGCTTTTTGCAGTGACAGTCTTTTGTCCATCTAATTCTATTGATGTACCATTTACAACCCATTCACTTCCAAAATACAACATTTCGAACAGAAACCAGATTTCAAATCGAAAAAGCAAGTTTTTACATTTTGATAAATGATGACAGTGTTTTTCTTTGGAATAACATGCACCGATCAATGCATGCTTCATTAGACCAGGAAAGTGATTGTGGTCCATTTTGATTTCATGTTGACTTTAATCAATGACGTTTTCATGCATCCTTTGTAAAATCACTCTTATCATCTATTCTGCTTTATTAAATTGATACCATAATTCACACCGTAACACCATAATTCATGTTATCAGTATTCATTCTTGCGCAAGTTATTGCACTGAATTGAATGCTACAGTTTATTTAAGAATGGTTTTATGAAGGATTTTATGAAGATGAATGAGGCCTAATAAGTAAAATCACTCTTATCATCTTTTCTGGTTTATTGAATGGGTTAAGATTATAATTCATGTTATCGGTTTTACGAACAGATGGAAAAGAAACGATTGAGAGATCCTTTAACGTTTGTATAACCAAGAAAAAACGTTTTTAAAACATTTTTTAAAAACAGCAGAATGTTCAGAGAACATTTAGAAATAAAATTTTTATGACTTAATGGGAACATTAGCTAAATGTTCTCAGAATTTTTTTTGTTAGCAGACAGACATAGACAGACAGACATAGATGATAGATAGATAGACAGACAGACAGACAGAGACAGATAGATAGATAGATAGATACTCCGCTAACAAGGAACACAACACATTTTGGCAAAGTTCTCTCAAAAGTTATGAACAAACAGTAACATTAATAGAATGTTTATTATGAAAGTTAAAGTTAGTCTTTAATAATGTTCTCAAAACAGCACAAACATTATTCATACATTGCTCATGGAACTTTTTAGTTGAACGTTTGTCTGACATTTTTAAATGCTTTAGAATGTTCAGAGACATTTCAAAAGTAACATTCCCACAATGTTCGCAAAATGATAAAATAGAATGTTCCATTAACATTTGTATAACCAAGAAAGGTTTAAAAAACGACATTTAGAACGTTCAGAGAACATTCAGAAATAATGTTTTTATTACTTATTGGCAACGTTATCAAAATGTTCTAGAGCAAAATTTTGTTAGCTGATGGATGGATGGATGGATGGATAGATACGTAGATACAGTAGATACTCAGCTGGGACATTTTAAGAACTTTGGATAACGTTTTGGCAAAGTTCTCTCAAAGTTATGAACAAACACTAACATTAATAAAATGTTTTTTTTTTTAATGAAAGTTAGTTATCTGGTCTTTAATAACGTTCTCAAAACATTAGCACAAAAACATTATTCATTCATTATTTTCCTGAAACATTTTAGTTGAACGTTTGTCTGACATTTTTTAAAAATGTTTCAGAATGTTCAGAGACAATTCAAAAGTAACGTTCCCATAATATTTGCACAATTATAAAGTGGAATGTTCTTAACGTTTGTATAACCAAGAAACATTCAGAAAACTGGACGTTTAGTACGTTCAGAGAAAGTTATCTGGTCTTTAATAACGTTCTCAAAACATTAGCACAAAAACATTATTCATTCATTATTTTCCTGAAACATTTTAGTTGAACGTTTGTCTGACATTTTTTAAAAATGTTTCAGAATGTTCAGAGACAATTCAAAAGTAACGTTCCCATAATATTTGCACAATTATAAAGTGGAATGTTCTTAACGTTTGTATAACCAAGAAACATTCAGAAAACTGGACGTTTAGTACGTTCAGAGAACATTCAGAAAACTGGACGTTTAGTACGTTCAGAGAACATTCAGAAATAGCCTATCGTTTTCATAACTTAATAGGAACGTAAGCGAAACGTTCTTAGAACAAAATTTTGTTAGCTGATAGATAGATAGATAGATAGATAGATAGTATATTGGGTTATTTTCTAAAACGTTGGGATATTTTTTAAACATCGATGGGTTATTTTTAGTAATAACCCAGCGTTGGGTTAAATTGGTTCCCGCGGCGATGGTTCAAAAAAAAAAAAATCAAATTTTTGTGCCAAATTCTGCACCCTTGCCAGATTATGCACCCCCTCGTTGAAGTCGCTACTTGATTGCCTAATCCCAACCCCACCCCTAATCCTAACCCCTCCCCCACACCTAAACCTAAACCTACCAATACTAGGGGGGTAATAATCTGCCGGGGTCAGAATTGGGCACAACACCGGCAACATGTCAGAAGTGCCGGTTCCCTGCCAAATTATTACCCCCCTCGTTGAAATCGCTCCCTGATTGCCTAATCCTAACCCCACACCTAACCCTAAACCTACCAATACTAGGGGGGTAATAATCTGGCGGGGGTTAGAATTGGGCACAAGAAGAAGCTGCTTGCCGGTTCTGTAGACCGGCAACAGAAGAAGCTGCTGCTGCGTCAGTATGAGGTAAGTACTATCGGTTTTGATAACTCTTATAACATTATACATATTATATAAAGAAACGTTAAATGCACTCTAAAATTGAATGTTTTTTTAAACGAAGTTGTAGTTCTCTTTAGTCAGTGTATTGTACTCCGGAGAATGAACTCGATTGTAAATGAATAACTAGCTGTCCCAGTTAGGTGGCTAGCAGTAATAAAATTAACAGAAAGACTAGTGAAACTGTTTAGAGATGTATTACAGTTACCCAAAGTTAATAATGTGTGGTGAAATGTAACATTAACGTTTAAGGCCTAATGTTACTTAAGTAATGTATACTATAAACTTAAAGGGGTGGTTCACTGGTTTTTTTCTAGGCTTGATTGTGTTTATGGGGTACAGTCTAACATGTGTTAATGCTTCGTTAAAAAAAAACGCATTTTTTTCACATAATTTAGCTTTATTCGACACCGCTCTGTTCCTTTTCTGAGAAATACCCTGATCATTTCCTTCTTTTATGAAGCCCCTCCCTCTGAAATAGGCGATGGGCTCTGATTGGTTAGCTAGCCCAGTGTGTTGTGATTGGCTAAACCGCCTCTAGTGCTCGTCTAAACGTCCCGCCCCTCACCTCAGCGCATGTGCTCTGGTTGTACTGTAAACAACGGCGTCTTTAATATCGCTTATCAGTTTGAGCCCGATTGAGAAACAGAGGATATTATTGAAGAGGATCGTGCAGAACCTGTGCAAGCACGGCTTTTAATGGTAGGCCTATGTTTTTTGTTTGTTGTTGT